GTCCTTATCATTGATACTATTAAAGATTCTCCTTAAGTCACAAGAGCCTAATTTTTGTGAAATACGAGATTTTATGACCTGAAAATAGCGGGATTTGGTGTTAGACAAAACCTTTTTACAATGGTTCCTAGCAGTAATAAGCAGACGTCTCTTTTCTGGAGAATTGTTTTGCTGATAGATATGGAAGTAATGGTTTCGAATGGAAATTGCAGCAGCACAATGTGAGGAAAACCATAGAGAAGAGTGAAGTTTGACCTGGAATTACCAAGAAGTCAAAAAATCAAGTCATCGAGTCAAGAAGATCCAGCATTCAATATCCTAAACTGGAAACAATGTATTAAAAATACAATTGTTCCAGCCTAATAGATGAAGAAGAGGTGCGAGGCTGGTCAAGAGATAGAATTTGTTTACCCCTTAAGTCTTTTTCTAGGAGGCTTTCTACAAGACAGCAGCCGAATGCATTTAATATCTACCCAAGATAAGTATTTTTATCGAGACACCATCTCTAGCTTTTACTCAACCAAGAGCCTCAAGGCAGGGGGTATGTATATACTTTTATATATATACATATACATATATATACATATATATATATATATATATATATACAGGGGCGGATCCAGCGTTTTTTGGTGTTTGAGATAGCTAACTTCCAGACATGGAGCAAACTCCAAACATTCATATGTTTATACTTATATCAAATAAGAATGGTTTGCAAAAAATTGCGATGATTGGAGCCTGGGAACAAAAAAGCCCTAAAATTTGAGACGTACCTGCCTCAAACGTGAGAGCAACAAGATGATATAATATTTTTTGTACTATTCTCAACAAGACTTATATTTATCCATAAATTTTAAATTTCATTGTAAAATATTTCCGCGTTCAAAAATTATGACCATGTAAAGTTTGAATCCCCCTCAATTCGAGGGGGTCACAATTTTTATATGGTCATAATTTTTAAGCGCTAAAATATTTTACTATGAAATTTAAAATTTATTGATAAATATAGTTCTTGTTGAGAATAGTACAAAAAATATTTTATCAACTTGTTGCTCTCACGTTTGGGGCAGGTACGTCTCAAATTTTGGGGCTTTTTTGTTCCCAGGCTCCAATCATCGCAATTTTTTGCAAACCATCCTTACTTGATATAAGTATAAACATGTAAATGTTTGGAGTTTGCTCCATGTCTGGAAGTAAGCTATCTCAAACACCAAAAAATGCTGGATCCGCCCCTGATATATATATATATATATATATATATATATATATATATATATATATATATATATATATATATATATATATATATATATATATATATATATATATATATATATGTATTAAATTAATAATAAAATAAATACAATTAGATTTGAAACATAACTCAGAGTTTCACGCTTTATGCGATCATTAGACGTTACAAACAACCGTAACAACAACAAAAATTATATACAAAAAATACAATACAGTGTTAGCTTAGATGACGTTAAAGTTGCAAATAACAAATTTGTTTTCGTGGCGACATTTTGATTTATTCGTTCATTTCGTTTATTCAGTAGTTTCAAAGATGACGTAATGATATGGTATTTTTCGAAACAAGGAATTTTTTGAAAGGAATTTTTATGTTTGTACCAGCGATCTTTAAAGGTGTGTTCCGTTAGACCAATATAATTAAGACCACTCTCCTGCGGTGATGTTTTTACATTGCAGACGTAAATTATATTTTTACTGAGACACATACCTTGCAAAGGACATTGAGAAGGTTGCCGGCAGTTACATGTTGGAACAATTGTGTTGGAAACATTAGATAATATTTTTTTATTGTGTGAATTAATAATATTGGTGATGTTAGGAAGACAGCTATAACTAACTTTTAAATTATTCTTATTAAAAATTTTTCGAAACTTATGTGTTTTTGGAAAATGCTTTTCAATTAAATTTAGAAAATTGTTTGCGATGTTGGTTTTTACATTTTGTGAAAACGGAGGATTAAACCAAACAATGTTTCGTGATCTTGATTTTGGTTTTGATGAGGTAAGGTTTTTTTGAAAACCTGGAGGAAAGTTATGTAACCTTTGCTTAACCGAAAAATACCATATCATTACGTCATCTTTGAAACTACTGAATAAACGAAATGAACTAATATCAAAATGTCGCCACGAAAACAAATTTGTTATTTGCAACTTTAACGTCATCTAAGCTAACACTTTATTGTATTTTTTGTATATAATTTTTGTTGTTGTTACGGTTGTTTGTAACGTCTGATGATCGCATAAAGCGTGAAACTCTGAGTTATGTTTCAAATCTAATTGTATTTATTTTATTATTAATTTAATACATATTTGCTCTACTTTTGTATTGAGCACTGTCTACCGAGAAATTACTTTTATTATTGATATATATATATATATATATATATATATATATATATATATATATATATATATATATATATATATATATATATATATATATATATATATATATATATTCTACTTTTAAGTATTATACTTTTAACTCGGTGACTTTTACTATTTTAATTATTATCTATTTAAAAGTGTTTTCAGTTGCAAAGTAGAAAATATCAGTTATAATATAATTTAATTTTTGTTTCGATAATTATTTGTACGTTTATACTTTTATAATTTCGATAACTATTTGTGCGTTGATACTTTAAAAAACTTATTGATTATAATTAGTTAAAGGTTGTTAACAATAAATATGAGAATATGGGAATAGTGGAAATAGTTACTTATTTTAATGATTTACTTATTAAATTTAAAAAATATTAATATAATTACTATACATTTACTAGCTATATATATAAACGCAATAAAATTTACAGATTTTTGCTTTATGTTGAGTTTGGTTTTGCTGTATGTTGTTATTTATTAAGTTATTTGATAAAGTAATAAAATATTTTAAATGAAATATTTCATTTTTATCTATAAAATATGTAAAAATTTAATGAAATATTTCCTTTTTATCTATTAAAATACATGAAAAATAAAATATTTCATTCTTATCTATTAAAATATGTCGAAAAAAAAAGAAATATTATCTACTAAAATGATTTATTGCAACAACTTTGCGTTTCGTAATAAACTATTATTATGTGCAATGTAAACAAACTAAAACATTTTTTTTTTTATTCAAAAAAAAATGTTGCTTCCTTAGCAAATATTTGTTTTAGATTTGCAGTGGACCTATATTGGAGTTTTGTTTTGTAAAATATTTTTTTCAATGGAGTTTTTTTTTTTTTTTTTTTTGTAGTTATTTATGTGCTCCCAGAAATCCATACGGTCTTATTACAGAGCGCTGGAGAGCATTTAACAGAAAATTCACGCCTCCTTCCGTTCCAATGTCGCTTGTCGGGCTGGAGCAAGCATCAAACCTCGGACCTCTGTGTTCTGAACTAGAATTCTAGCCACTGCGCCACGGCTGCTCGAGTTTTTTTAGTAATGGTAATCCGGGAACGGCTGCTCTACGGACTTTTGTTCTGTAAATGGCAACCCGAGAACTTTCCGACATATTAATAGTGGCTAGTCATCGGCGCGCCACTTTTAGCGGCTGCCACTAAAGGTCCACTTTCAAACCGATGAGCCAAACTACACTGGCCCGCAAATGACTATATAGGTCCACCGAAATTGGTTTTTTACAACTTTATAAACTATTGTTACAATTCCTTCTCGTGACATAATATATAGTCATAGAGAAAACAAAAAATAAATGTATACATATATAAACCGTTAAAATTTATTATCAAACACACTGTGTTAAATACAAAGTATATGTTTTATATATATTTTATGATAATAAATTTGATAAAATAATTTGGTAAAATAATTGTGATGTTGAAAGGAAACTCGCAGACTTAAAGAAGTCTTGTCATTGAGAACCTTTGAGACATAAAATAAGTAAAAAAAATTTCAAACTGAAATTTGTGCAAAATGACTAATTTTTTTCACATTGCAAAAATAATAGGTTTTCAATATCATTAAAAAGAAAATTTAATGCTGAATAAAAAATTGCTTGGACAAAAACTATGGTTTCTATAAATATCAAAATTTAATCATTTTTCATTTCTTAAAAAAAATAAATAAGACTTATTGTTAGAAAAATAATTTAATGCTGATGGCAGTATTAATGTTAATATTTACGATTTATTAAACTTATTTATTAAACTTATTAAATCAGATATTGAAAGAGTCTTTGTCTTTATGTCTTTCAGAAAATGAAACAAATACGACAAATACAAAAGCAAAGAACGCAAAAACTTAAAAAATATTGTTCATAAAATCTTTTAAATATCTAAATATAAGTCAATGTAAGACGTCTTTACGACGTCTAATAGACATCACAAATCGGATAGACGTCCTTGAGATCCAGGTTCGAAATTAGTTCTGGACATATTTTAAGGGACGGTATAAAGAAGACTGAGGCTAGCTGCATCTCTTTTTACACTTTGAGCTATTTAGCCCTAGAGACACAATTTTTTGTAAATATCAAAGCTTAGTCTTGAGGAGAATAAATGTTAAAATTATTTTCATTTTGCACTCATAAAAAAACCTTTTATTATCTTTCCGGGGTCTCAACACACACACACACACACACACACACACATATATATATATATATATATATATATATATATATATATATATATATATATATATATATATATATATATATATATTCATAAAATGTTTAATTACAATCGTCATCCAATTAAAAGTCCAATGAATGGGTAAAATGTCAAGACTTATAAAAAGTTTTTATAAGCATTTAGGAGAAAAACAAAATTTCTATTTATGTAAAAACGATTTTGATGTTTTGCCCAAAAATGAAAAAAAACTCACGCACCTCATTCGGCAACAATCGTGCAACAACGATTTGTAGCGCATTGTAGTCTAATTTCATATCCTCCCTCCCTACCTTATAAAATAACATTTTGAGAATAAAAAAAAAGGAGAATATTTTTTAAAAAAATGTTTTTTTACCTCCATCACCAGCCATTGCAGTGTGATGACCAGTTATTTTATCCCAATCACCATGCAAATCATACGCCATTAAATTCAAAAGGTCTAAGTACTTTCCAAGTTCGCTTGCTTCATATCCAGCATTTATGATTAAATAAGAAGCAGGTACAGCGGCTGAAAGTTGAAGTCTGGGTAATTGTCTAGCAACAGCGTCTTTATCAAAAGCTTGTATCAACTCTTTGCAAAGCAAAGTGAACCTTTATAAAAAAAATTATTTTATTATTACTTTTCGAACTATAAATATAGTTTTTATTTTTATAGTCCTTATTACTACTATTATTAATTTTTATTTACATCTTTTTGTCTCCAGGGGGTGAGTTTCCTCTTCCAGCTGGATACTCCCAGTCAAGATCAAACCCATCAAATTTCCACTTACGAAGAAGTTCAACAGTTGATTTAATAAATGCCTGCCTGTTTGTTTGGCTGTTTACCATAACTGAAAATTTTGAAGTACCTAGGAGAAAGTCAACTATTAAAATGAGTCGACAAAGAAAAAAATTTATAGCATAGCAACTGCTCAAAAATACTGGCTAATTCTTTTTTATTTTAATATAATTAAAATTTCATCTTATGCAGCAGAACTAAATAAAAATCATTTAAAATACTTCCGCTTTCATGATTCCAGCCTCCTACTGCAAGAGATATTTTTAGATTTGGATTTTTTTGCTTAAGAGCCATGACACGTGGATACATTTTGTTGTCATTCCACTCAATCATATCAAGTTTGTTGTCTAAACGGTTTGAGAGTGTTTTTATAGATAGTTATAAATGTATAAAAATTTATTAACAGTATAGTAATATACTGTTACAGTATCGTATATATACACCACATATTAATAACACCTTAACAAATATAATAACTTTTTTAATATAAAAATTTCAATAATTTTATTTATATTTTTACAGAATAACAAAAAAATCAAAGTTTAATGAAAACACTTACAGTTAGTAATCTTTCCAAATGAATACATAATGTGCGTGCAAAGCTGTGGATCAATATCTTCAGGAAAAAATTTCATGGGGTCAGCTCGGTATTGAGCCCAATTTGTGTAGTAGCAAACTCTAACATAATTTAAAGCGTTTGTATGTGTCGCTAAGAAAGCCACCAAAAACACCACCTAGACGTTTAAAATATTTTTTTAAAAGTTTTTATATACACAAAAATGATTTGATGTAAAATTATTTAAAATAATAACAAGTAATTAACTTTTATCACGTAAATAATAAAAGTTATTTAACCTTAATCAAATTTGTAGGGCCTTTACAAAAATTAGAAAGAAATTTCATTCAAAATTAACAGGTTTATAAAATGTATTTTGAAAGCACCTAGGTATGTATATAATTTGTTATATGATGATCAGGAGGTAAAAAAAACTTTTTGAATTATCTTATTATTTTTATTTTTTAAATTATCCATAAAAATTTTCTTCAAATCAATAGAATAAAATAGGATAGAATGGAATGGTTATGAGGTTTTCATGCTTTCATTTTTTTTTAATTCATTTATTTTGCTGTTTAACAATGAATAATTAACATACACATATAAAAGAAATGTTAATCAACATACATATATATATATAAAGAAAAAATATGTCGGTAGAACGAAGAAGACAGTAAAATCTTGTAACAGGGTTATTCATTCTTATATATGCGCATTTATTCATTCTTATATGCGTTTTAAAAAAGCAATTTGAACAAAAAGAATCAAGTAAGCAACTTGTTTTGAAAAAACAATTTATCTTTTTTTATTTCCTGGTAAACGAGGTTGAAAATAATTAAAATTAAGAGTTTTTACATTCGATGATGGTTTATTTAATTTAGTATTAGGTCTTTAATTAATTTTGTAATTAAATTTATTGATTGATTAAGTTATTATTTATCTAAATACTCATTTATCTAGATTTAAATTTAATTATTAAATAAATTTAGCGCCGGCTCGGCAACCATTTTTTTTAAATAAATTGCAATGGCAACAACCTAATTTATATTTTAAGTATATCTATCTAAAAACATTGAAAAATTAATGCCAATTTATTGTTTACATAAAATGATATTAGAGATTTTATGAGTGGTTGACTCGCATATAAGAATGAATAAAGGCGCATAATAGAATGAATAAATGCACGTATAATAATAATTAAAGGCGCATATAAGAATGAATAAATGCGCGTATAAGAATGAATAAAGGCGCATATAAGATGAATAAACACATATCTAAAAATGAATAGACGCGCATATAAGAATGAATATCCTGCAACAAGTACTGTAATACAATATATACAATATAAAGTATAAACTTTTCTATTTACAATGATCATTACAAAGTAAAGAATTAAAAAGAAAGGGGCTCAAAGAAGATGAAGATGACAATTCATCATCACAATCTTTTCATAGAGTCCCTAAATATATTTTTAATAGAATATAAATGTTATATTAATAACCCTAATGGGCATAAAACTGCTGCGCTGATCAGTAAATCAAATAAAGATTAAAAAGCTAAAAAAATAGAAACAAATAACTTCAAGCACAAATTGAATCAAATTTTAAAAATTTCTTTTTTAATTTGAAACTTAAATGAAACTTAATGACTTTGCTATAGATTTTAATTTTTTTTTTATAAATATTCCATATATTTGGACCTTGATATGCAATGTTCAGTATATTTTTAAAATTTTTGAGGCAGTTTATATGTGTTACTTATATTTGTCTTAGATAATAGTTTTAATTTCTATTTATTTCAAACTTGTTGTTAAGGTTTCCAGTAAAGAAATTATTGTGGAACCTATACATAAAAAATAAATGTTTATAGATGCTCATTTCAAAAATATCCATCATTTTCATATCATTCATTATAATTTTAAAATAAATAGTTTTTTTATGTTTCGATGGTTGCGTACTTTTCAATGATATATTTGCATAGTTGACGAAGCAATGAATTAATCCAAAATATTATTAATTTGAGACTTTGTTTATTGATATACGAACGAATTCGATTCATCATGCCAACTATATTGGTGATCTTAGATTGAATATATTTTATTTGAGGAAGCCAGGAAAAATTAAAAAATATTCGTGGACCAAGAATAGATCCTTGGGGAACTACACATTTAGTATAACATTTAACACTGTCAGTGTCAGTAAGATAACTTTTAATCGAATTGTAAGTTTTATTAATTATACCATAGAGCTTTAGCTTATCTAATAGGATGCAGTGATCAACTGTATCAAATGCTTTTGATAAGTCAATAAAAACTCCTAAACTAAATTTGTTTTGTTTAAAACAATTATTTATTGGTTCAACTAATTCAATGATTGGTCAGTTGAGAAGTTATTTTGAAATCCAAACTGCTTTGGGTAATATAATTTGTTTTTAGTGAACTGAATATAGAATCTATTATAAGTTACATGTTCAAAAAATTTTGAAAATACGGAAAGTATTGATATAGGTCAATAATTGGTATGTCCGAATGTTCATTACATTTAAATATAGGAACTAATTTTGCTAATTTAAATCCATCTGTGAAAATTCAAGAAGTTATAGAGAGCTTTAGTATATGGGTCAGAGGTCTGGACTGATTCTGTTGAAGATAATTATATGTTATAACTGATTATGTTGAAGATAAACTAATTTCCCTGAAGTTAATTTAAATCTTAAAGCTAAAAGTATTAAATTGCCTTGGATTACAAAGAGTTTGCGGAAGTCTTCAAAAATTAAACAAAAATTATATATTAATTACTTAAAATCTAAAATAAATGAAAATAAAATTTTATATAAAAATTACGCTAAACTTTTTGAAAGCCTCAAGAAAAAACAAAAAAAAAAATATTATTTAAATTTACTAGATATATGTAAATTAAATTTTAAACGCACTTGGTTTATAATAAGAGAAATTACTGGCAGCAAAAAATGTACATCCCACTCTTTGCCAAACACGGTTAAACATAATAAAGAATTTTTATATGATAAAAGACAAATTACAGACCAAATCTGGCAAAAAAAATTCCTATAGCTAACAATTTAATGAATGATCTATGTTTCCCTCTAAACTCTTACTTGAACCCTTTTGAACTATCTTTTAAAGAGTTTGAAAATGTCTTTAAGATGTTAAAATCTAACAAAGCAGTAGACCCTGATGGTATTAATGGCAACATCATTATAAGTTCATGTGATGTTCTAAAAGATATACTCTTTAAAATTTTTTCAATATGAATTAAACAGGGAATTTTTCTACGAACTCTAAAATTAGCAAAAGTCATACCAATATTAAAAAGTGGTGACATTTAGAATATAAGTAACTACCGTCCTATTTCACTCCTTTCTGTAAAGTTTTAAAAATAATTTTGTACAATAAAATTTATAGTCATCTTACTTTAAACAATTTATTATACAGCAATGAATATGGATTCCAAAAAAACAATTCTACTGAACATGCCATTCTACAATTTACAAGAAATATATTTAACTCGTTTGAAAATTCTCAATTTACTCTAGGTTTTTTCATTGACTTGGCGAAAACTTTTGATACTATAGATCACGAAATTCTTTTTAAAAAGTTGGAGTGGTACGGAATTACTGGAAAAATATTAATTTGGCTAAAAAGTTACCTAAATAATCGAAAACAATTTGTTTATGCAGATGATAACGTATCATCTAGTTTGTTTAATATTTCATGTGGAGTTTTTCAAGAATCCATATTAGGACCTCTCCTATTTTTAATATATATTAATGATCTACCAAAAGCTTCTAACCTAATGACAATTATGTTTACTGATGATTCAAACCTATTTCTTTCTCATAATAACATTATTACACTTTTTAGCAATATGAACATTGAACTAGTCAAAATTTCCGAATGGTTTAGATTAAACAAACTCTCACTAAATATTGATAAAACTAAATGGATTCTTTTTCATCCTTATGGTAAAAAGCACCAGCTGCCTAGCAACTTTCCTTATCTATTTATCGATAACATAATTATTAATAGAGTTTTAGTGACCAGATTTTTAGGTGTATATATCGATGAAAATCTTACATGAAAATGCCACATTGCTAACTTGTGCAGTAAAATTTCAAAAAGTATAGGCATGCTATACAAAATAAGAAACGTTCTTGATAAAAATGCCTTAATTCAATTATACTTTTCGTTAATTCATTTCCATATCAACTATGCAAACATTCCTTGGGGTAGCACTTATAAAAGTAAACTTAAACCTCTCTATCGGCAACAGAAGCATGTAGCACGCCTTATAAATTTTAAGAACCATTTTGCTAACGCCAAGCGTCTTTTATATGATATAAACACTCAATATATATGAATTGAATGTTTTTAATATTCTTTGTTTTATGTATAAATGCAAGACCCACCTATCACCCGTTTCTTTTCGTAACTTGTATTTACAAAGAGATAGAAATAAATATATTCTAAGGAACGATAACTTAATTCGACAACCATTTTCTCAAACTAATTTTGGAAAATTTTTTATTTCATTTCGCGGACCATTTTTATGGAATAGTAAAGTTCTAAATACTTCTAAAGATTTTTCTCAAGAATGTAATTTTGATTCTTTTAAACAAAATCTTTAAAAACTCATTTTTTCAACTGAAAATATACTAATCTACTTTTAAGTTTTTGAAAATCCCTTATCTATATTAAATTTTTGAAAATCCCTTATCTATATTAGTATATGTATATATTTAATGTACATTCTTTTTTATTTATTTATTTTTTATCAACAAGCAATTACTTAACATGTTTTATTTTAGTGAATTATTTAACATGTTTTAGTTTTTACGTTTTAGAACTCGTATATTGTAATATTGTATGTTTATTTATATTATATTACGAACTTTATATACTTTTATTATTAAATTTAATTTTGTAATAAAAAGAAATTAAACAAAAATAAATAAACACGAAGAATGAAACATTGAAAAAAATATATATAATAATAGCATAAAATTAAAAAAAATTAAATAAAAAAAGCAACAAAAAAAAAAAAGTTCAATAGCGGTTTCTCTGTGACAAGACCTGATGGTTTTCTTTGAGTATCCGCGTTCTTTATAATTATTTTTATTCTTTATTACTTAACGATATCTTGACTTGTTACCTTTCCTTTT